GGGACCTCAGTTTTTCTTCCCATCCGAACGACTATAACGAGCTATATGTTCTTTCAGAAAGTATTCATAATTATTTGCTAGCTATTATAAAAACGTACAATACACAAACAGTGTAGGCGATATGATCAACGCTTCCCGAAGAGCTACCAATTTATCAGAATTTTCAAAAAAAAAATTGACAAATTTTATAGTTTAATATTAATATCTTCTCAAATAAAGCAACCGAACAGTTTTCCAATACGTGCAAATAAGCTCGTGCACGCCTTTACATCTGACAAGGGGGAATCAAGCAGGAATATCTGGATGAACTTTCTCGGCCAATGCAGGGATCGAACACCCGACCTCCAGGCTAGCGAGCCAGCGTCTTACCCACTTAGCCATCGTGACCCCAACGAACACAGCTTTGAAACAAACAGCATTGTAATTTTGATTAAACTTCACATTTCATTTAGACCTTAGACAATTACGTTTCCAATCAAGTATCAAAACACCGCATTTGTTACGCAACACCTAGAGGTCAACGTTTTCAAACATTCTGATCAATCAACCATAACAAAAAGATGGCAATACTTTCCCCCAGTTTGACTGTATATACAGGATACTAGTGTTCTAATATTGTATTTTAAAAAATGATTGGAAATGTAGACGGTGTTATTGATGAACTATTTAAATGTTCACATCATATCCCAAGTAATTATATCGTCTAGTTCTATCGGGAGCAGATCCATCGTTCAGTAATTATAAGTATATGGAACTTTAAAATCTTCGCTGAATCCACGGGACAGATACAATACCATGGTGATTTTTATTTTTCATTTCGGCGCCAACGGCTTGGCCTTCAATGCATACCATCAATCAAAGGTCAATATGTGAACTTGCGCGTTTAATCAAATGAAACAATGTTTAAAATGATTATAAAATAAACCTGATATTGCTTTCTGATGTGGCTGGGTTATTTCAGGTGCCAGTCATAAGAATAAGAAGACAGTATATTTACATACGGCAAATTTGACTTATTCGCTATGTATACCAGGGGATATTCAAATTACGGTCTACCTGTTCGATATTTATAAATGACAACATTGCATTTCTTGCGATAGATTAAGGTCAATATTTTTATTTTATTAAATGCAACTTTATCTATAAGTAACGTGACTATATGGTACGCAGTATAAATGCCAGGTATAGTCGAAAGAATAGACGACAAGTTGTAAGACTTTGCTCCTTAAGACAATATTGGGTCTTTGAAAAATTGTTGGTTAACTCTTTCTATAGAGTCAAATCCCACGTACTAATAAAAGCGAACGACATGTTTATATGCAACCAAAAAAACAGTGATATTTTGGTAAAATCCTAACCATTGTCAAAATATCCATCAAATTCTATCTGTTTATGACATATGGTTGGTAGACCATATAAGGTAATGTTCTCCCCCCTGGTCTTTGGAAATGGGGAGGTTTATTCCATATTTGGGATGGAAATTAAAGTCAAGGTCAGTCTAGAACGTGCAGAAATTAGGGGGTTATAAAAGAGGGTGTTGGGTGAGACTGATCAGAGCTCACCCAGGTATTCTGAGCAGCTATCATTTATTGCGAACGAGGGACCTTTGAAGCTAATCCATGCAGCTTAATAATAATGTTGAAGAAATCATTTAACCTGTAGTTTTATATATTAGGATCACGAAGGAAAAAAAAACAACAAGGAAGTCCAATCTACAAAGTCTCGAAAAATGATTACGTGTCATATCAGGCGTATGTGCTTCTTTGATATGTTAGATCACGGGACAATTCTGTAATTGCATAAAAGCGGCTATTATAAAGTTCTGGAATGACGATCGTTGGATTGTATGTGACGTAAATTTAGTGAAAAGCTAAAGTAATTTAAGTTTAAATATATCATTTGTGTGGAAATTACCACTGTTCGGTTGGTTGTGCCGTATTATTTATCAATATGTTGATTTCTGTTTTATGGATATGCTATTGAAGGTAAGATGCACAATTTACGCAACGTGGCACGTTTTTATAAATTCACTAATGTCAAACGGTGAGTGTACGTCTTTTTAGTAATAAAGCAGAAATATATTTCTGTTGTTTTTGCTGGATTTACTCTCTATATTCCCGTGGATATTCAAATTGGGCGCTGACTGCACGGTATTTATAAATGACGACATTACATTAGCCTTTCCGTATGTGATAGATTAAGGTCCGTATTTTTATTTCATAAAATTTAACTTTATATATATGGTACGCAATAGAAAAGACACATAAGAGAGCACACCTGCTTATCTAAAGACCTGTCTTTAATTATACAAAGACCTGCGTAAAAAACACACGGTCGAATGATAAATCGCACGGTAAAACAGTTTTGCTTCCCAAATTTTGATTTAACACGTACGTTTTAGATAAAGCCTGTTGGTCCTTGATTATACTCCTTTTGGTGCAGTTATCGCAACTAGCGAGAAAACACGGCAATTAAACAATACACAACATTGACATTCATTTTTTACCGGTCGGTTAATTAACACACCTCTTCTGAAAACGCACTGTCACACAGTTTTTCACCCCTAGCGTTAATTAACTCACCTCTCAGACAGTTTTTCACCCTTGTTAATTAACACACCTTATTTACAGTTTCAACGCGGTAATACCGAGTAATAGTCGGAAAATTAATTTTCTTTTGATACATGTACAAATAACAACCATGACTGAGAATTCTATGATGGCTGTGCACAGATTCACCCTTTAGCAGTTCTCAGTGTTACCATGAGCAGAAAATGCTCATTATCGAACTTAGTCAAGGTATTGATGTAATGAAACTATACACTAAGTTTCATCACTCTCACTTAATTAGAACTAAAGTTATCCTGTCCCCAAAGCATCAACCAATCAAATTGCTTATCTCTGCTTACCCTAAGCAGAAAATGCTCATCTTCGAACTCCATCAAGGCATTGACCTAATAAACACCTACACCAAGTTTGAACATTCTAGGTCAATTAGAAGGAGAGATATTGTGTCCCAAAAAGTGTGACGGACAGACTGACAGACGGACGGACATACAGACAGACGAACCCATTTTAATAGTCCCCTGCTTTCTTCGAAAGGCGGGGGACAATAATCTGAAAACTAAAGGGAAATAACTGAGACTTCTATTGCTGTAATCAGAATGACATCCCGTTACATAAGTTTCAGAAAAATGAATCAAGCCTTTTAAAATCAGGACGGATGAGAAAATGAAATGAACATGGCGGGCAAGAACTCAAAAATGGCTTGAAAATATGAAAAAATTAAATGAGATAACTTTAAATGGTAGTTATATTTTTGAAATCAGACGGACCTCAGCTGTTCGAATATTCAGGTTAAATTTTAACAACTAAGGACATAAATTGTCCAGTAAAACACTTTGTCGGCACGTAAAAGATCAAATTTAAAAAAATTTCAAATATCAAAAATTCAACCCTGATCTCGGCTATTCAGAAATGTATTCTTTTTGGAATTAGTAGAGGAATTCTCCAAACTATGGACTATTGTGTTTATTTTGACGTCCATTAAGGTGGATTTTTCACTGTTTTTCATATTCAGTTCCAAATGGTGATCAGCAATTGATCGAAATCAAAATTCTGCTCTGAATATTTTTTAGTCATTCTTTCAAGAATTCAGAAAATGTAACTCCTTTGTCTGTAAGTAAAATATCGCAAAAGCGTAGGGATTTTTCAAGTTTCAAGATGGTGGCACTTCAGGTTCGATCGAGAAATTCCATATTAGCTAGTACAGAAATAAATTTTGAAGGCAATCTGACCTACTTTTTGTCAATTTTTTTGAAAACTTTGACCCTTAATTTCTCCAAGGGGAGATAATGTAGAAAATTTCTAATGACATCTTTGAAGTTGGATCAACCATATCTACTTGCATTTCCAATTTCATGAAAATCGTACTAATATTCAAGAAGTTGTCATGTTAGTTTTACTTCCGGGATGAGATGTCAATGACGTAATATTCGAATTTCAAAAATGGGAAACAGCAGATTTGAAGTAAAAGTTTTACAGTACTCAAAGAAAAAAGAATTAGTAAAAGAGATCAAATAATCACAAAGTTACAGCTATGAAGGTCAATTTTATCATCAGTAAATTTAGGTGATTTCTGATTCGTAAAATGTTTTGAAAATATATTGGTTCCAAATCCACCACCCATATTTGGAAGGAGCCTAACCAGAAATTTCAGAAAAAGGAGACAAATTCACAAAACTGCGGCCGATTTCAATTATTTTCAAACCGTTAATGGGAAGTTCTCACTCGTAAACAACTTTGTTGGAACGAAAAACGTCAAAGGCGAAATTCAAATTTTTTATAAATATTCAAATACCAAAAATTAGACCATGAGCCAGGCTATCCTGAAATGTATTAATTTCAGAAATAAGAAACGCATTGAACATACTACGGACTATTGTGTTTATTTACAAGCCATTTACTATGCATTGTAAGTTTTTTCGTTCATAAAATTTGGTGATTTCGAATTCGTAAAACATTTTGAAAATATATTTAATCCGCAGTCACGAACCATTTTTTTGGGGGGGGGGGGGGGGTAGTTCAAAGTTTCAGAAAGAACCCATGGTTAGATTCTGAGATATAAGATTTATGGAAAAATAACAATAAATTTTTTTTTTAGTAATAACAATAGTCTTTCAGAAGGGTAAAGGATTAGGCTGCAGAAGCCTTTCTACCATCCTGCAGTTCATGAAAAAATATAATACAAAAGATGAGATAAGAGGATGTAGGTCTTAATGGATTTTTTTCAAATTTGGTCTGAAGTATTGTCGTCATGAATAGGACACATTAATTATTGCATAAAAACTTGGTAGTAGTGTAACAGAATTTAGGTTTTTGATATAGCCCAATAGTCATTACTGGTAATAACAATAACTAGATACTGATATTATTATCCTAAATAACTGGTATTTTATCTAAATCACTTATCTTATTAGTAGATGAGTAATGTTACTATACCTTGGAAGATGAATACCTCGTCCATGGTAAAGATCTTTAGCATATTGGGGTAAAACCATGGCTTTTAATCGACGAATTTCTCTATTGATATCAAACCTACAATAGAAAAGTACCGTACCTGAATATCATTCAGTTCACTGAACTTGTCATATTTATTACTGTTTTAAATAAAAAGAAATTGTTTTTATCTAGAACTATTTGTCTTTAATATTGGTTTACAGAATGACATAGAAATGTTATAAGTTTAACAAACTTAAAATAAGCCATTGGGTAATACACTAAAAACAAACCTACCTCTCTTCTATATCTAATCTTTTACCACCCATACATAAATCTAATGGTAATCTATGGGGTAATATTTCTGTTTTACGTTTTATATCTCGTAATTTTTCTAATGCTTCTATCTCAGCTAATAATCTGTCACGCTGTGTTAAACTACAATTCAAAAAATAAAAGACACATGCCAGTAATCAAACTTTGGTATCATCAATATGTATTAATAAAATAATAAAATTATTTAAGGAAGGGTCCGATTTTTATGGGGCGCCGTTTGTAAAATAATTATTTACTTTTTTTTATAGCAAAAAACATTAGATTTAACTCCGAATATATATATTTAGATAAATATTAGAACAAATATGGCATATATATAAATATCAAAAAATATTGTAGCTAAAAGTCGAGTTTTGGGTCTATGAAATACTTTAAATGTTATATCTTGATTTCACATCACTTAGTTAAATATATAGCTAAGGTATAAATGCTAAATACTAAATCACTGAAAAATCTTAAGTTAAATATTTAGCTAAATATATAAACATTTAGCTAAATATATAAACATTTAGCTAAATATATAAACATTTAGCTAAATATATAAACATTTAGCTACATATATAAACATTTAGCTAAATATATAAACATTTAGTTAAATATATAAACATTTAACTAAATATATAAACATTTAACTAAATATATATATTTAGTTAAATATATAAACAGTTAACTAAATATATAAATATCATGCTAAATATATATGTTTAGCTTAATGTATAAATATTTAACTAAATATATATTTGTGGTCCCGCCAATATTTATATTATCGTAAGCGACACAAAAAACTGCGCATAAAATGATGATGTGTACCTGACACATGAGCCTTGGCACAATAGGCCTGGTACGGTTGCTAAATATATAATTATTTAGCTAAATAATATATATTTAGCTAAATAATATATATTTAGCTAAATAATATATATTTAGCTAAATAATATATCATCAAATCTCTTGTTTTGGTCTTAATATTCAATGCTAAATGTTAATTATGAAATTAGAGACAAATCAAGAAATATTTATATATATTATGTTAAATATTGAGTTTTTGTTGTATTTTTAGTTTACATATTAAAAGTGAAAAATTTGCACAAAAGTCGAGATTTAACTATATATATAAATTTAAATTAAATCTAGTGTTTTTTGCTATATAAAAAGCTAAATAATTAATTTACAAACGGCGCCCCATAGATTTTGGAATAAATAGTCAAAATATGATTTATCTTCATTAAGGTCCAACAACCCCATAAATTTTTGTTTAAATCACAGTAATAATTGAATATGATTCTTTTTATTAGAGGAAATATCATATCCACTTTCTTTAAATTTGTTCTAAGCAATATTATATACTGTGAATGAATGAAATGAAATGGAATGTGGGCGTATAAAAATCCCTGCACAACAGCAGTACAAAAACAGACTTTAAGTTAAAAGACCCTTTATAAATGATTAGTTTTATATAATCCTTTATACATACAATGATTAGCACCGTCGGAGCAGAACAGTGGGACATTAAACCCCATTTCATTTTATTTCATTTTATTTATTCTGTAACTACATGCAAATACAAGCAAATATCATTGTATACGGCCATTGAATAACTTATGGTTGTATTCAATGGGTTGAGAACAGACTATTTTGTCCAGAATGACGTCACTTCCAGAATTACATCAAACGATAATGACGTCAGCACTAGGGAACCACAATTTTTGTAAAAAGGAAAGAAAAAAGGGCAGAACCTATGATGAATTTTAACGTTATTGTGATGATTTTTTTTGATAATCTAGATAGTACAGTGTATTTTGAGATTTGCATGTAGTTATTGAATAAAAACAGAACTCAATGACCACTGAATACCGCTCAGGTTATTGAGAGAAGAAAACATCTACCAAACCTGTAGAGGTCAAACAGAAGACAAATCCATCCAAGAAGAAAGAAGAGGAACCGAAAACGAAGATTCATGAAGAACACTTCATTCCTAAATTTAAAACGGAAAGTGGCTTCATGAACTTCATGATCGAGTTCCTCAGGGTGGCTGTGTCCAATGAGGACCAAACTACCAAGATGGCAAGCCTACTCAGCAAAATAAAGACACACATGGTCAACGCCGATGTCCTGTGTGTCATGATTAATTCAATCAACACGGTAAAAAAAAGATCAAGAGAAGAAGACGACAACGAAGAAACCACAAAAGGCGATCAAACGTCAGTGATAACTTAAATTATATTTCTGTTTCGCTTGACGTAGAGGACCCTCTAGACGCAATGGGCATAGCCATCACATAGAGCAATAATACAAAATTGACAATAGTGAATGTCTATGTACCCCCAGATGTCATGAGAAAACCAGTTGACTTCCAGTCACTTCTCGACCAGCTTCCTCAGGGCGAATTTGTGTTTTGTGGGGATTTCAACACAAAACACGTCCTGTGGGGGTCACCGAGGAATGACTGTCGGGGGATTAGCCTATGCTCAATAATAGAAGAGAACGACCTATGTGTACTGAACGACGAGAGCCCTACTTTTGTTGGAGGAAATGCCCAACCTTCACACCTGGATCTCACGCTCTGTACGCTTGGTATGGTAAACCGCTGCGACTGGCAAGTACACGAAGATGAAACACTTGGCAGCGACCATCTACTGATAGAACTCTGCATCCAATGTGAAACAACCAGGGAAGTCTATAACGGGAAACCCAATTGGAAAATAAAAGAGGCTGATTGGGCTAACTTCCGTGTAGGCTGCCAACATCGACGTGTACGCAGCCAACATCACGAGTGCTATTATAGGTGCCGCAGACGACTCCATTCCCAAGACTTCTGGAGGGCAATCAAGGATTAGAAAACCTTGGTGGTCACCAGAATGTCAGAAGGCGGTTAACGAAAGAAAGAAGGCACTACGCCTACGGAAACGCCACTACAATGAAGTCAATCACCAAAACTACCTGAAGTTGAAATACGTGCAAGAGACACCATCCGGAAGGCACAAAGCGGACACTGGATGACATTCTGTAATGCGTTGAATCAAAACACGCAAACAGGTGCCGTCTGGAAGAAGCTGAACGCCATGAACGGGAAGCGCAGATCATTGAACATGGCAGGAGAGGTACCTAAAGAATGGCGGAAAGCCAACGTCATCCCTCTTCCAAAACAAAGGCAGAGTCCTACCGACCAGTAAGTTTGACATCCACACTGTGCAAAACCTTGGAAACAATGGTTAACATACGACTACAGTTCTATCTCGAGAGCAACCGACTGATCGACGAAAATCAAAGCGGGTTCAGGAAAGGGCGTTCAACAACGGACCACTTGGTGAGACTACAGCAAGTCATGTCGCAGGCACTCCTCTCTGGAAACCTGTTATGTGTCGTTTTCGTAGATTTAACTAAGGCTTTCGATTTAGTCTGGCTAGACGGGCTGCTCTTCAAGTTAGGACGTATTGGTATAACGGGCATAATGTTTCGGTGGATCAAAAGCTTTCTGAGCGATAGAAGGATACAGGTGAATGTTGGCAGATTCCTGAGTGCCGGGCAAACATTAGAAAATGGCACGCCTCAGGGGTCGGTTATCAGTCCCACTCTCTTCAATATCATGATCAACGACATACAGAAATCTTCCTACCTCGACGCCAAAACTGAGATAGCTAAATTTGCTGATGACAGTACCATATGGAGGAAAGGGAGGAACTTCTGTGAACTACAAAAAAACATGCAGAAGGCCTTAGACAAATTCATGGCATGGGCAAACGATTGGGGATTCAAAGTCTCGGAGAAGAAAACAGTCGGCATGCTTGTAAGCAGGGATAGAGGGATAAGCAGAATGACTCTGTGTATGAACCGAAAACCATTGAGTTTAAAGACCAAACCAAGTTCCTTGGTGTAATCTTTGACCGAAGGCTGACCTGGAAACCGCATATCGACGAGACTGTAGATAGATGCACCAAAATCCTAAACTTAATGAGGAAAATAACGGGCAGCACTTGGGGGGCCAACAGAGTCACACTAATGATGGTGTATCGTGCTCTAATACGATCTGTATTAGACTACGGCTCTCTGGCCTTCATGAACTGCGCATTATTACTCTTAAGGAAGCTTGACACCATCCAATACAAAGCTCTGTGTATTGCGACTGGCGTATGGCAAGGGACTGGGAGAGAGGCACTACTGCAAGAAGTCGGGGAGTTGCCCCTATCCCTAAGAAGGTACTGGGCTAAGATCTCGCAGCTGGGCAAAAGATCCCCAACCTTTGTCAGTCTACAAAATACAAGATATGTGAGAGATCCTAGAAAGAAAAGCTTCGGCCAGGGTATCAGGGAAACAATCAAGGAACTGCGACTGGGGGAGCTCGTGATAAATGAACACGACCCCCCAGCGATCGCCCCTTGGACGCTCCCTATACTGCCGGTTAATCTAGATCTACTACAGAAAACCGACAAGAAAAACAACCCTACTGCTGCACATGCTTTCTCTCTAGAACACCTGGAAGACAACTGGCCGTCTTATGACTGGGACCATGTGTACACGGATGGCTCACGCAATCCTGAATAAGTCGATAGACTTATATCGAAGCTAAGGGTGAAAGAGCGGCTGCAAGACTACAAACACCAAGTCATCATCTGTGAGTGCGGAGAAGAATGTACCACCACCCATGTCCTGGTAGACTGCAAGGTATACGAGGAGGAGAGAAGGGAACTAGTGAGAACAATGGAGACCAACAACATACCATTCAACACTATGACCCTACTCTTCCCGAGACCAGATCTGAAACTGCAAATCTTCGAACAAATCCACGCCCTAATAGACACAATTGGACTAAGTAGAATAGTGAAGTAAGAGGGGGTCACGGTTAGACGGGCCCGGCATCTAAACACTAAACTACATAGGGGATTTATACCAAACTGGCAGGATAGTGGAGTAAGGGGGAGTCACGATCAGAAGGACTCGGCATCTAAACACTATTCCACCAAAAACAGACACCAAACCTACAGAGTGGGATAGTGGAGAAAGGGGAGGTCACAATAAGACGGGCCTGGCACCCCACAAAGATGACATCTACCAAACTAGCAGGATAGTGGAGTAAGGGGGAGTTACGGTCAGACGAACTCGGC